TTTAGAGGTTTGACTGTACGTTCAAATATTTATAACAATTTTTATGACAAAAATATTCTATAAAATAAAGCACTAAAAGTGTACTTTTTTCTTATTTTTACATCAAATGTAATCGTGTAATAGTACGAATTATTATTATTATTGTGATATCTTAAAATTATTTTATCAGGTTTAGAAAGACAACTGGTATCTGTAGTAACGTAGATAAATATTGATTATTTGAAAATAAATTTAAAATCCAAATCAAGTTGAATGTGTTTTGACTGTTCATTTTTATCTTTTTTTTAGAAATGGTTGTTTTATTTTTATAGCAACTCGAAATAATAAAACTAATTTAGGACATATGACATTTCCTTTGAATTTTTTACGTGTAATAAAAAGTGTAAATATCATTAAAGCTGTCATAGTCTTGAAAAAATTAATCGAAAAAAAAATCATGTCATCATTTCTGAATATAAAACTAATATAAAATTAATAATGATTTTCACCAAAAATTCTTTTCTTTCTCTCTTGACATGTCTACAGAAAATTCGTTAAATTTATTATATTAAAATTAATAATAACTCAATACAAGTAGCAGTCATAAGAGCAAAGTTTTCTTTTCAATTAATAATTCTGTTCTTTGAATCTTTGCTATTTGGAGTAATATTGCTTAGGAATTTATTTTTGAAGTTCAGTTTTAGCTTTATTTCTTATGAAACAGGCATTAGTTATTAATTTTATTGTGTTTTTGTTGCGCAATTTTGATTTATTGTCATCACAATGTACACTAAAATTCTTTTATTTGAAATATATATTATGAGAAAGGAAATTTCCTGTAATATTTATTTTAAAAAGTTTTCTTTTACGGAAAGATAGAAAATTTAACGAAATTAAACAAATTACTTTAAACATTAAATGTAAGAATCAACATTCTTTAGAAATCTGTAGAGATTCATGAAGTTTTTTTCATCTAGTAATCCAATAAATAACGTTTTCATAAAATTTTCCAGTTATTTTACAAAATATTTACAAATATAATTCGATCTTTAACTTGGCTTTTCTAGATTATATTGAGGTTTAAGTGAAACAATCCAAATATGATTTTTAAATAAGAATGTAATTGTTTAGATAAAATGAAAATATAAAAGATTTTTTTCATATAATATTTTCAATATTAATGTATTTTAAAGTAAATTCATTTTCCTATTAAATTTCATTTATGCATAAGATGTACAAATAATAAACAGTATTTTCTTTTATGTTTTTTATTTGTACATTTTATGCATAAATAAAATTTGATACGAGAATGAATTTACTTTAAAATACATTAATATTGAAAAAATCTTTTATATTTTTATTATATGAAAAGTAGATAAATATCAGATTATTTACTTGATAAAGTTTTCTATTTATGATATTCTAAAAGAAGATAAGTATCATTAAAGATAAGATTGTTTCGTATAGTTGATTGATGAAACCAGAAAACAAGAAACGATAAGCGAGATTGTAAGAAATGAGGATTACATTGGGATTAGTTGAATCTCTCTCACTGTCCAATCATATTAGCGTCATTTCCGGCGATTACGTGTACGGTTACTTGTTTTCCGTGTAGTCATTAACAGTGTCCTATCCTTTGAGAATATCGTAGCCAAAAAAATTTAATTTGAATAATTGTTATGATGAATCTCCAGTTCTTTCGACAAGTTACTGAAGTACACTCCGTAACCTACTGTTACGCATTTTTTTCCATATAATTTCTTATATTCATTTGTTGCATTTATAAAATATTTTAAAAAAATAATGCAAATAGAGGATTAAAGTGGAAGATGTCACGAGGAGAGGTTTTTGTGTCTCATTGGTACTCTTGAAGTACCCCCTAGAGATCTTGGAGGATCTCTAAAGGTTACAGAAATATTTTCTTGTTACAAAAACCATTCCAACTCTCCGCACACGTTTTGAATGGATTTTATTGTAAGTGGAGAGTGGGCAATCTGTCTCAATTGGAAACTTCACTCGGAAACTTAGAATCAGTATACAGTATACAGGAAAAGCATAAATTATTAGCCATCTTATTCCGATACATTGTAATATTAATGTGATCATTTTTAATACTTTTATAAAAATTGTATGGATAATTTTTAAAAATTAAATCTTACTTTTACGATACATCAAGTGAATTATGATATATTTTAAGAATCTTATCTAAAATTTTTCACATAATACAATAAATTTTATCCTATAGATTGCCCTTTATATCGTAAAAAAAATTTTAAACGTGTTTTTCAAAATGTTTTAAGAATAAATTTTTAAAAATGTATTTACTTTATGATATATTACATTAAAAATATCGAATTTTTTTAAAACTTATCTTAAATATCTTATAACTGAGATTAATAATAACTCGTTTGTAAAATATATCGGTAATTTTTCTGTACTTTGTTATTTTCTTTACTAATTATTTTGATATGATAATTTAATGAAAAGCAGTTTTCATTTCTTTACAACATTGTACTTGTACCACTTCAAATTATTTAAAACGTCAACAAAACATTAATTTTAATAGAAATATAAAGCAATTGAACACCAAATTACTTTATATATGGAATGACTTATGTAAATTTTATCAAGAAACATCGAAAATATTTCATGTTTTCGACAGTCTCAGTTAGTAAGTGGCTATAGTATTTAATGACATGACGATTTTTCGATTAATTACTTAATAAAAATCACCAAAAAAGTTTTGTTTTCATACATTTTTTCTATTATTACTTATAAAGAAGTGAAATTAAATGAGATAGAAGTATATATTGCGTTGCACCAATGAAGTGTTATTAATTAATATCATTTTTTAAATAAAATAATTTATTTAGTAATAAATTTTTGCAAACTTTTGGTTTTGTAAAAAATTTATGTTTCGATACTTATTTAAATACTACACAACAGTATAATTAATAATTTCATTAAACTTGTGTTTAGTTTATTCTAATGAATTAAAATAATTTAATTTCTTTATTATTAGTATTTTAAATCTGAATTAAGGTTCCAGAAACTAAGTAACACAAATGAATACTTCGATTGGTATGCTCTTCAGTGTATTAATTGCACTTTCTAACTTACCAACGATATAATTTTAGTCTCATATTAAGATCAATCGAATAAATTGTATTAATTCAGATGAAGGAATAACAATAATATTATCCACAAATCAATTAGTTTGAAACTATAGTCGAAATGCATTAGTAAAGAACTGAAATAGTGATTCAAATATTAATTAACTTATGAAACATCGTTGTTAGTTATTCGTTTATTTGAATTAATATAATTTGCTAAATTCTTACGTAACTTCAGTGTTAAATTTCCTTTTACTGTATTCAGAGAATGAAACATCTATTCACGTATTAAACAGTATAAATTTTGCCATCAAACAAATATTATTGAAATGTTTATTTAGATAATAATAATACGTTTTCTATGTGATATTATTTTTTAATTTTATTTTATAATAAATAAAATATTTAAACAGTTTCATATTGTATTTTTATTCCCATTTTTAGATGAATTACATATTTTTTACATATTGAATTATATTTATATATATTTAGTTTGAGTTTTACAATTTTTAAAATTAAAAATTTTCATTTTAGTTTTCAAAATAAATTTTTTTTTCTTTTAAAAATATTTGTTGAAAGCATAAAATTAATTTTAGTTCATGTAGCCACAAATAAGTTATATTTACTCAAAAATGATTTTTTAGATATAAATAAAAGTAATAAATTTATAAAACGTATAAAATTTATAAATATAAAATGTTACTCTTTTTTTTTATAAATGATGATAAAATATTTATAAATTTAAAAGGAAAAGTGACAGATACCATAACGTAGATAGCGAGTAGTGACCATCAAGATGGAGAATCTGTTGAAATCATCAATAAAATAAAATCCCATATAGTTCTAAATAATATATAAACTCATAAATTTTCAAGCAGAATATTCAAAAATAAAATAATATATTTATTTATTTATATTAAATCTGTAAAAGCATAAACAATAAAATATTTATCTTATTTTATATTAGCTATGATTTTATAATTAGTTAAAATTAAACAATGATTGAAAATATTAATTAATTTAATTTATTTGCTAATTTATTAAAGTTTGAAAATTTAGTTTGCTATACTATAATAATTTTAAAAAAAATTCTTTTTCGATTTTAAATTATTTAAAATAAATTTAAAATAATAATAATTTGTCTTCTGCTTATTTAATTGCAAATAATGACAAAAGATAACTGATATTTATTTCCAAAATATGTTAATTAGTTAATAGAATTAATTATAATTTCAGTGACACATTAGTTAAGTATGAATTATTATTTTTCTGCACTTACAATTCTTTTCTTCAATTTAAACACAACAGATAACACCACAGACATGTATCATGCTCAATGTACTTAATTAAAAATAATAGCAAAAGATAATCAATATTTCATTTTAATTAAAATAATTTAAATAGGAATTACATCTGTAAATTTAATTAAATTAATTTACACATTTCATTTATAAACATGTAATTTAGCCACTATCATATTTCGTATTGAATTAATAAAGTAAATAATTATTTTAAAAATAATAATAATGCAAAGTTAGATATGAAATAAAAAATTAATATATTAAAAAATAGAAATGCTTTAATTATAAAAGTTATTAAATTAAATAACCTGAAATACCTTAATTGTTATAGGCGTTTTAATGGATAGTTTTTTAGAAAATAAATATATTTTCTTGTTGGAATGCTTACCACAATCCAAAACAACAAAAGACTTGCTAGAAAGCAGTATTACGTCAGTTATTACTCCTACACAGTTATAAGCACCCCACGCACTATCATCCACTCAATGTCATCCACACCGTATCCATGAAGATTCTTTCATCACCATCCAACTGTTGACGCTCTTTAATTCACGTGACTTATTTAATCTTCTATTGGTTGACTTCTTCGTCTTGCGCACTTCACTCGTGACGTCAGAGAAACCAGTACTCTTGTAGTTTGCGTTGGTTTCAAGTCATACACTTTAATATTAAGGTGAGATTGCAATTTACAATTAAGGATTTTTAAATACGTTCAATTTATAATAGTTATAACTCTTTAAAATATTTTTATATTATACATTTCATTTTTAAAAACTTGGTAATATATATTATTTAGTAAAATATTTAAAGTTAATAATATATATATAATAAGAATTTTTGTCTTATCGAATGGCTTGTTTATTTGTGGAAAGAACGTTGTTTGATCTTTATATTTATCTTATGACTTATATGGATAGAATCGATCGATTTTATGATGGCGATGCTTTTGACTGATTATTGAACATTTTCCAATATATGTTATAATTTAAAACAATAATAAAATATGAGTGATATAAAAAAACTATATTATTTAAATATTTTCTTCGATTTCTAGAAGACTGTACAGCAGTTAGTAAAGGAAAACGCAAGTCAGTTTCTTTAAATTCTGTGTTATTCCACAGTTATAACTGATATAAATATTTTAATACATCAAAAATTATTATAAAATTTTAATTATTTTTTTTAAAAAATATATGATAAAAAATTACATTAATTAAATTTATTTTTATTTTTACTAAAGTTTTCATATTTTTTACACTAGTTTAAAGAGTCGCATCAATAAAAAAAAATTTAATTTATGAATATAAAATGTTTTTAAAATTATAAATAAATTGATTTATTTTAATTCGTACCTTTTTTGGGTATTTATAAATGAAATCTTATTAAAATTAATAAAGCCACTTACTCCTAATTTATAAATATATAAAAATTATATTTTTTGTGATATGTTAAAATGTATTACTTTTAAAAAATTTTTAAGTTATTAATTTTATAAAAATAAAATAAATAAATAAAACATTTCTGATGGAATAATTAATTAAATATTCAGTAGACAGCATACATTAAGATAAAAATTCTTTTCAAATGGTAATAAATGTTATTAATAAGTTAAAAAATTAATGTGTGATTTTATTTAAAATAAATGAGAATGTAATTATATACTTTTGACTGCATATATTTTTGAATTTATCTTTAGTTTAAGTGATGATAATAATTATTTATATTATATATTTTTCTATGTACACATTAATTTTATATGCGTTGTACTGTATATTTAAGGCAACTGTTGAATGTAATAATTTATGCACTATATATATATATAAATCTCAGATGTTAAAATACTTATATAAATAATTTAATATCCTATAATATATTTTTTACAATTTCAGTTAGTTTATAAATGTTTTATATCCGCGGAAAAAAAAAATTATTCAATTTTGTATCAGATTTATCCCCTATGACTTATTCTTATTAATCAATAATTTATTAAATATTAAATAATATATCATTTGTTAAATTAATAACAATATTTTTTCTCCATTAATAATGAATAAAGTTAAATTTTTCATTTATTTTAATCTATATAATAAATCAAAAATTATATTTGAAAGACGATTATGAAGCTAAACGAATAAATCAAGTAACCAATTTAAAACACGAAATAAACTTCTAATATTTTGTTCGTTAAAAATGTAACATTAATTTTAATATTTGCGGAAATATTTTTTTTTTATAAATGAATCTTTTATATAAAAAAATTTGTTCTTTATTACTTGTATTTGTTGGCATGGAAACCAAAATGTTATTTAACGTCAACCAATATCCTGTGTTGAATGGAACGAACTCTTCGGATATTCACTAATTGACGAAAATGCATCATGACTTCCCTTTCTATCAGAAAAACACAAGTAAGGCATCATTTCCAGCTGATCGAAGCAAGATAGCTGATTCTAAATAGCAACATAAATTTCATATTAATTGATAACAATAATGATTTTGATATTAACTGTTAACTACTCTACTGTAGCTTCGTACAACAAATACTTAAAACATTTATCATTTTCATAACCTTTAGAGAAACTGTCACGTGTTTAAAACTCACCCACACGATAACTCTGACGTCAGCGAAATGGACACACACGTTAAATGATTTTTCATTCGCAATATGATTATAGAATAGGCTAAAAATAACTCATCATTCTTAAAATAGTAACGTAATGTATGTTCAAAATATTTTTGCCAGATAATTCGCTATACGAATAAAAAATGATACATAGAAAACTTGTAATTATTTTAATAATTGTATGTTTTACATTTAATTATATATTCATGCCATTTTTAATACAATAGAAGAATTATAATAACAAAACACGTAGGTGTCTTTCTTGTATAACGCGCTATTCAAGAAGGAAAGCCACTTTTACAGGCGTTATAATGATTTAATGCCTTCACTTATAACGTTTCACTTATGACGCTTCACTTATTAGCTTTATAACAACGAAAAGATGAATTTAAATATTAAATATCTACCGCCGATAAATTGGTTTATAAATTCATTTTAAAATCTATTATAATTATTAAATTACAATATTTCTAAATCAGTAATTTTATTTAAAAATAAAAAAAGAGAGAGAATATTGAAATTAATTTCGTATTAATATAAAAATAACTAAAATTTTATGTAATTTTAATGCAAAATTCGAAAAATTCTATCATTATTACTAAAATTATAATTTTATTATATTACTTTATATTAATATTATAAGAGATAATCTGATAAAATAAATGCGATTTTTGTAATAATATAAAATCATTTGTAAATGGAATCGATAAATTTCTTAACAGATAAATAAAATAGTAAATTATATATTTAATTTGTAAAACTATCGATTATTTTTGACTTTCCATACTTGACTTTTTAGAAAATGTCACTTTACGATTTATTCCTTCTCTGGCTTGAAATTACTTGTTTTATCGATGTTATTTGGTTAAAAGTTGTTACTGTAATTTAATTTAAGTATTATTTTATATTTTTATTTATATTTAAGTCACGGCTATTAAAATATAACATTGAACTCCTAACAAAATGAAATCAGTGTCGAAAACTTTTGGCAATAAGCCAGAAAGACGCCATTGAATCGATACTGTAAGTCCTGCCTTTGTTCGTCATCTGAAGGTTCCGAAGTATTATGGGAAAGCACGTGGACAACGTTTAACAGAACATTAGGGGCGTGCACACTTTGCTGTTTGACCAATTGAAAATGGAGAAGTTTTATTTATTTATTTTAATGTAAATGATTGTATATATTTTTTTACATTTTAAATTTTTAACTAAATAATCTTTACACTAAAATGTAAATATATAAATAACATTTCCTTAAAAAATTATATAATTTTCGAATAATATACAGTTTTTATCAATTGATATACATGTTCGATAGTTATAAATACAATACATTATTTATAATTTATTGCCATATTTACAAAGTAAAACCGTATTTTAAAATAACTAATTTCTATGTATTAAGAATTAGAGTAAGAAATTATTTATATTTATTTAACATTTGATATAATTATTTTTATTTTAGAAATATTAAATTTTATTAGTCTAACAATATATTTATATCTTGTTTTTACAATACTTTTTCTCTTTTTATTTTAATAGAACGTGTTCCTTAGAATAGAATATATTAAATTTGTCGACGTTTTTAAGATAAAAGTTTGAATTTT